CTGCCACACCTTGGAACAGAAGAAGCAGCCCGAAAGCGTTCGTCAATTTCTCCAGACTCAGTAGATCTACCACGATGATCGACCGCAGGGAGGCGAACACGGCTGCAAATCATGCGAGAATCGTCGTTCAATTAGAAGTCCAAACCCTATCGATTTCTGAATGTTCTACGTATACTCACAAATGCTGATCCCAAAGCCGGCTGCGTAGAAGAACTGAAAGCCCTGAGTGAGCGACAGGCCGGAAATTATGGTTAATAATCCACCAGCGCTGATGAATATATTGTTGACGACCAACGCGTTGACACCTGGTAAGCTACTAGCTAATCCGCACACCACACGACCAACGGTATTGCCGATACCGATTACCGACACTAGGAACATTGCCGTGGATGGTTCGACTCCTGCCCTTATGGCTCGATCTGTCATTTAACAAAATCTGATTATTAAAATTGATACGAGCTTAATTTCGAAAATAGTAAATTTATACTGAATTGCACATTTCCGAGATAACTGATCATTTGGCGAGATTCGATACGATACCTGGGACGTACATAAAGGGTGTATAGAAGCCCATCATGGTGAGTCCTCCAGAGATCGCCAGGATCAAGAAAGAGGGACTTTTTAGCAGACTTAAATCGAGCATGGTTGTGAGGATTCTTCGTACGCTTTCTGGACATATGTAGCAACTTCCGCTTTCTTCTTCAGCCACGTCGGTCGCGGTCGGCAGACGCGTCACCGACATGTGGTATCCCACAGACGATTGCTATAGAAATAAAAATATGTATTCGATTATTGAATCCATATTGGCAGGTAAAAGATTTCGTACCTGAGACCTGTAATGAGGTAGCCTGTTCAAGGAACCCCCATAAAAAATATCGTCCCTATAGAACGGTCTTTGTGGATCCTTGCTGAATGGATTTCGCTTGTTGCCCACCTTCAAAGACTTTTGGCTACAGTCCGAGTCCGCGCGAAGTCTTCGGCCGCTAATCGTGTGTCTACGAATCTGCCAACAATTTTCCTTTATTGCAACCGACCGTACCCAGTTGGCACGGAACAGCCATAAACGGTGTTATGTACTGTCTTAACCAATTATCCCATCTCGTTAGAATTCATTAACTCTTTCTAAATGCGAAAAAACGCTTCTCGAAACAACTTTGTTACGAGCAGGGATTCAATGATTTCATACAATTTAATTCGATACGATTCAGATTGGCGTAATTCGATTCGACGTGATTCAATTCAGCGTTGATTCGAATCAGTGAACTTCAATTCGATGAGTTTCAATTTAGCAGAATTCTATTAGACGTGCTTCAAATCGACACGATTCGCTTTCACGTGATTCAATTCGACACCATTTGACTCGACAAGTGTCACTTTGATACGATTGAATTTAACGCGGTTCAAGTGGAGTGTCGACTCAAGATTTTTAACTCTTGTTTCTACTCCAGATAAGTTCATATTGTGCTGAAAGTGGAACAAGATAAGATTCGAACTCACCGTAGGTACTTTGCCGTTCAGTCTTTCCACATCACCACCTAGAAGATTGTTCTCTTCCGCTATTTTTTCGTCCATAGTCACGTCTATATCGGGGTAGATCGGCGCGGATAATCGTTTCTCCGAGCTGCTCAACTTCCTTTCCAGCGTAGTCAGTTCAACGTGAACCTTGTGAAGCGAATGTAGCGATTTGGAAGCGCTGTAATAAGGTTTTCAATTTAACACTCGATCTCGGTGGCCATATATGCCAAGTTTCCGCTATCTTTAAACCCCAAATCTTTCTGTCCACTAGTCTGTATATCCCCAAATCCCTGCATCTGCGAATCCATACATTCCCGAATCCCTATGTCCACTAACGTTTACGTCCAGATCCCTCAATCTCTACCCTAATTCCTACATTACCAAAGCTATGAATGCTCTAATCTATGTATTCACAGAGTCTGAAATCCCTGCCACTTTATTTTTGATTAAAGATAATGAAAGGAAGGATGAAAGATTCATTTAACGAACGGAGGCTTAATTATTACTTTACTATGTTGGGGTTGCTGCCGAGGAGCTCAGCAGCGGTGGGATATTCCGTATTATTGTTGGTGCCAAAGAAACCGCTTCTGCCAGGTTGAACGCAATGCAACGATGCGGTGGAAACACCTTTGGCCATCAAGTTGTTCTTCACGTCTAAGCCCGCGTTCTCGGGCGTAGGTTTCACTTTAATCCTGGTCGGTTTCAGTGGGCGGAACATCGCGCCGAAAATGGCACAATTCAGCAGCATTCCTGCAACATTCCAGCCAATCTTCTGGCCTAGCGTTCTACTGCTTTATGATTTTTGCATGGGGTGGGAAACTTTTGTACAGCGTGCTTCTAAATTAATCTTCCACCGTTGGAGATTTTGAAATGGGATTTGTCGCCATGGAGACGAAAAGAGGAAATTCGTTGAACTAATCGGTCACAAAATATTGATAAGGATATCATAAAAAAACAAGAGCATTATGGAATTATATTTGAATTATATATTCGACAATTTGATCGATCTGTTCTGATTAAAAAGATTCGAGATTATGTCGTGTTCGAGAGTCGATTGTACTGCAAGATCTTCTCCGAGACAATTTCAACAAACTCAAGTTTGTGCTTTCATTTGTGTCTGAAGATTCTATTTAGTTAGTACGTCAGACTATTTGCGTGAAGAGACGTCGTCAGTCTTGTAAAAATTTCCAGAAGCTTGGATAAGCATCTCGAGTCTTAAGTTGTCGCTGCAAGATCTACCAATTTCCAGACTAATCAGATATTTTTGTTACCTGCTTGAAATAACAAGGCACCCCTCCACCCGAACTGCTTGACGAGCAAATCGGAAATTGGTGCGAGCAAGAAAGCGCCGATTCCAGAACCACAAACCGCGATTCCTGTAGCCAGGGCTCTCCATCTTTCAAAATAAAACCCTGTAGTTATCACAGCCGGCACGTAGATCAGTCCTGCACCGATACCACCTAACAGTCGACAGAAAGACATTCGATCATTTAGCCTTATAGAGCATCGATAGTGCACCGCATGCGTACATAGTCAGTAACTTTAATTATTGAAGCAGTCGCTTCTCAGAACTTGAGAAAAGTAACCTCCGACAGATATTATGTAATAGATATTATTAATCTAAGAAGGTAAAACACGAGTTTCGAAATTTGTAATTTAAATGAAATTATCAAACCAGTCAACATAGAGGCTGCTCGCAAATTCGCTGGAAAATTTTGCATTGCATTAATATTACAGCGATAGCGCGAGTTAGCTGCGCAGCCCATAAACTGGAACACGGGGGTACGGAAAAAGTTTCTCGCCGAGGGCAGCAGCAATTTCGCCGAAAAGAACTTACCGAGTACACCATAAGAGATGTAGAGGAACTCGATGGAAGTGCTGAAGTACGAGAGCACGAAAGCACCGCAACTTATAACGCTTCCTAGGATCGCGACCAGCCTGAAGCCGTACCTGTTAGCCAAAGCTGACACAAAAGGACCTGCGAACAGAATAAAACAACTTTATCTTCTCTTCGACCGCGTGAAAATTGTGTTACCGATCACGACGTTCTATGAATTCAAAATTTCACGGGTAGAAACGAAGCTGATGAAGACCCGACGCACGCGGGCGATCTTTTTCGCGCGATTTCGCTTTCGCGTATCTTCTTTGCTTTTTCCCGAGAAAAAAGAGAAAGTCGATGAAAGAATGTCGGGTGAATATTTCGGACAATCGTTCAACGATGAATATCCGAGAAGAAAAGAAGATTCGTTACTGACCAGCCATAAGGTAGAAGCCAGACTGCAGCGAGCCAACCAAAGCAACCCTTGCTTTGGAAACGGAGAAAGCGGCGGACACGTCGTTCAGGAACACTCCGAAGCTGAAGATGATACCGTCCACGAAGAGGTTGCACATGAAGGAGGCGGCGACGATCACCCAACCCCATCCTCCGTCCGGTGGCACCACCATCTCCACCTCGATGCTCTGCAATCACGCAAACTTTTTGCAAGAAATTCCTTTCTTCCAAACTTTCTTCCGATTACCATATTAAATGGACCATAAACACGCCTTCGTATCATCTGCACGTCTCCTGTACTTTACTAACTTCGACTAAAATATTGAGTTATGATTTAAACCTATGATAAATCACGCGTTTTAGGCTCGAACAAAGTCGTATATTTTCAAGGCTGGATCTCTCTGTAAGGGGAGATTCAAATCCATGTATATTTGGATCTAGAGAAATTCGAGTCTGAAATTCAGACATAAAGGTTCGAACTTATGGATGTTCGGTTGTCGAGATATCGGAATGGATGTTATAACCGAGGGACAATCGAATGCATTCGAGTCTGAGAATATCGAGATCCTGGGATACAATGTTACAAAGATCCGGCGAAAGGAGACTTGTAGATATGCAAATACGCGTCTGTATTCGCATACAGATACGTTTCATAAGGATATCAATTTGTAGCGCGTTTCCGAAGTTTGCATCTAATATGCATACGAAAGTGTATCGTTTGAAAAATCGATCCAGTTTTTGCGAACGCGAAGAATCGTGAAAGTTAGGTGGGCAGATATCGGTCAGGGACAATTCGATAGCCCGTTTCGTATTACCTCGTTATTGTTATCCTGCACGTCTTCGAGAGGCATCTCTTCGGTCCTGCATCCGCCTCCGTTCTGGTGCACCGCTTTGGCGACTCGTTCATCCACTTTGTTCTCCAACGACGCCATCGTCGTCCACGGTTGTCTGTAAGAGCAGAGCGGACCGGTCGGTCGCGGTTATTAAAACGCGCGCGACGATTAAAACGGGAAAGAATAGCGGTGAGGCGAGGCGTGCACGCGCGAGAACATCGGCGACGAACGAGGCCTCCGAAAGCCCGCGCGCGCCTCCGATTCGATCCTATCCTACGCTCTTACGTCGATTTAATTCGATGCATCGTTACAAACGTATGACACGTCACAGCCGGCACCGCATAAATGCGCGACCATTATCATACCTATAAATTATACACGTGTTCGAGAGCCGCGAACGGGAGCCGCGAGCGGGAGCGGAGCAAAGCGACGCGGTTTTCGTGCCTCCCGCGGCCTTTCTTTCCGCGTCGATCGAACGATCTCGATCCAGTATCGGCTGGCTCTGTCGATTTTTGTTCCTTTCTAAATCAGGGAACTTCGCTGTCAATCGGGTAGAAAAAAGAGGAGATAACGCGCGACGATGCGGACGATAAATTAAAAGTGTTTACGAGCAGGAAGAAAACGATCGTAGAATCGAATTCGAACATTTTACGTTTTTCGTATTTAACACACTCAAAGACGCACCGTATGTGTCTTATTCCAGTGTACACGATATAATCTCCATATGCTATCTGTTCGATACACTCGAGGACGTCCCAGATGCGATCTACGCGTCGATACTTTAAGACACGCCGTAAGTGTCCTATGCTATATGCTATAGTCGCGTGCTTGAAAACACCACATGCTTTCTATGACGCACCGTTTGCGTTCTACACTAGTTGACGCGATAAAACCGTGCCTGTTCTACGCTATCAATTCTTTCGATAAAAAATGGACAGGCTGCATATTCTTCTTAGATAACTAGAGCCACGCCTCTAAAGCCCCGAGCGCGGTAAAATATCGGGTTTCACGAGTAGACGTGAAAGTTTTAACTCGAAGAAATTAACAAAAATATCTACGTACCGACAATCGAAAAATCAGAGAAATAGGACCGCTAACACTAACTCGAAACAATGCGAAGAAAAATGAACACTACGAGCACCGAAAAAATGTGCAACCTTCATCCGAGAGTCATTGCTCGAAAACTGAAGCGTGTCCATCTCGAAAAAGAAACGTTGATACTTCGATCTGTGTTGTTCTTTTAAACACGGAATGCCTCTTCTTGTATGTAGATGTTCGGTATTTTGTGAATCGACGATAAGATACGACCTATGTCAACCGAGACAACTTCGTGGCGGCGTTTACACATCCGACAAGAAAGATCAGTCGAAAAAACATAGAAAGAAACACGTTGTGTACTCTGTTTACCGCTAATACTTCGGCTCAAACAACATTCCACGATGTTTGATATCGTTGACGAAGGAAGACAAGAAGAAGACAAATTTAGGATCGAAGAGAATGAATAATATTTTCCTTTGGATTATCGCGATGACTACTGCACCCTGAACTTAATGACAGTGCGCTTATCTCGACTAGCTTTGCTGCTGTTCAAAGTCAATGACAATATAAGTACTATCAACTTATTGCTTAGACCTTTTTCCTTGGAAATTCTGTTTGAGAAATATTTTCTAAATATAACGCGGTCTGCCTTCAACGGTTCTATTACCATTTCTATGTTTCCGTATCCTATATAGCCATGTGTTCTACTCACGCGTTCTATTATTAGTGTACTATACTGCTACACGTTCTATTACCACGCATTGTATCATCGCACTTTCATGTATTCTATTATCTCGCATTATATCGCCGAGTCGTATCGCTACATATCGTGCCACACGTTATATCACCATCTTCCACGAGAGAACCGTAGGCAATTGGAGAGATAAAAAAAATGTTGAAAAGCTTAGTCACGAGAATGTAAGGAAACATTAATTGCCATGCTATAAATAATACGGACGCACAGCAGTTAAGAATATAATTTAAACATTTCGTTGCTGGCACGAGAGGAGTGTTTTACGACCCCCCTTTTATTTTCCGACTACTGTTTTCGAATTCATCAATCCGATTATAATAATAATAATTAATCAAACACTCGTACGGAAAGTTTTATCGCGATCAGATAAGTTGTTTAGCGTATCCAGGTAGTACGAGCAAATTGAACAATTTATTTGATTATTTATCAGGCGGATTACTTTCCTTGTCCCGAACATACTTACAAAGATCTGTAACGATAACGGTATGAAAAACGACGGTGACAGCATGAAATATAACGTATATACTTAACAGTGGCATGAACCTGGAAACTGATCCGCGGAATAATTTTTTACGCCACCGTCGCTCTAATCGTAATTCGAAACGATTCTACTTTTACCTACGCAAAGATGCGCATCCAAAAATAAAGTTATCCGACAGCGAAATTCGCTTCCAAACGAGAGTTAATTAATGCGAAAGTTTACGTTTGGACATTTAATGACATTTAACGAATTCATACCTAATCGAAACCGCGAGAATCAGTAGGGTCAACGACTCTATGATCCCCGCCTTCGTCGTTCTCCCTGTTGATCGTCATTGATATCAAGGACGTATGTAATCAGCGCGATTCGTAGGCCACAAGATTTCGACACGTGCGATCAAATGCTGTGATACACCGTGAAACATTCGACTCGCGCAAAACCATATTGTTGCAGAGATCGAGGCATATTGTGCAAACACGCTCGTGCAAACTCCGTACGACTGATAAGGGATGTGCTTATTTTTAAATCACGAAAGAGCGACAGCGGGAATATAGAGTTGTCTCTCCAATTGACACGAGTCTGGTTCGAAAGAAAGTTCATTTATAATCGATTAGGAAGACTACGATTTCGTGATAAGCTAAAGATACCTGCGATTAATTCGTTCCATTACAGTTTGACTGTTAGGAAATTCGCTCGTTAATGCTCGTTAATGCTCGTTAATGATTGATAACGGAGTATCGGTGTTTTTTTTTATGCTTCGATGATTCGGTGTAAGGTAATGCGGAGTAATATTCCAAATTGCCTATCACTGTCTGGGATTGAGTGTTCAGATCGACAGAATGCAAATTTTTTTCGAGGGGCGTTTAAGGTACTAAAATTAAAAACTTCCATTGCCTCGAAACAATTTCAACATTTTAAAGTTCCACGGTCTCGAAAGCTCGGAGCCCCAGTGTTCCAAAGTGGCAAGATGCTAAAATTAAAAGCGTCCATTGCCAGGGTGAGAAAAACTTGTAAAACAAGACGAAAGACACGTGAATCGGAAACTGCAGCGGGTTTCTCCGAATGATCGCAGGTTTCCATGGCACGATCCAAGAATAGATGGTCGTCTAATAATAGCGAGATTATGCGAGCTGCATGGAAGCAGCACGTAAGGAGCAATTGAAGCGATTCGATTGTATCGGTGCAATGGGTGCTCCAGAAAGCAGAAGTAGCAATTATCTGCGCGGAAAAGAGAGCGGATAGGTTGTTATCGTATTGCGTTGAACACAACACGATGGACCGTTTGTTCGTGAATTCGTTTCTGGCTCGATACCAAAACGCGTCCGCTTTCGTTCGTTCTCTCGTCTTTCTCCGTTGATAACGTACGCGATAACGAAACGAGGCGAACACGATGAACGCGAAACGATCTATCGAGCCGCGTTTGATCGTTCCGCCAGAAGAAATAATCGTGACTTAATTATGAACCGAACAAGTGCGTCTATCAAGTGTTTCTGATCCGCTGTCTTCGCTGATACTCGATTTCCTGCCCAACAACAAAGCCCTCGTTTTTATCGCGAACGCGTAATGTTTTCTGCGAAAAAGTGTTAGGGTGCAAGTGGAATCTATTGTTTTGCTAAAACAGTTTCCATCGTTTCGTATCTATTTGTCACTGTCGACCTAACCAGCGTAACTCGCGAATCGATCACGGTCCGATCTCGTAGTCTTAAATATTTCTGGTTCGAATCGAGCATTGCACGTAGGTGAGTCAGCCATTACGAATGAGTAGCGGAGGACCGGCAATGAATTCAACAATCTCGATTGGGGTATTACGAAGAAAAGCAAACGTCCTCGTGTAAACCGAAGGTACGATCGGTTCACATGTAGCGGACGAAGAGGAACTTGTTTTCGGGGCATTTTATTAATCGCGTCTTCCTGGAAAGACCGCGGAAACAAATTATTTGACGGCGGGAAAGAGGCTCGTTATGGGCCGGCTCGTTCAATTCCATTTAACCGGTCGTATTGAGTTTAATTGGAAAATTGTCAGGTTTTCAATTGAATTTTCATGCAACTTTATTCGCTTTAATTGATACCGAGAGGACGAGCAATCATTCATACGCGATGCTCCACTTGTACCGGGCCTTACATATAACCTCGTCCTATATTGCCACTTTCTATTACAACCCATTATCCGAGTACTGGCACATCCCGTTATTCTCGATACTACCACGTTCCATTATTGTCGCACCTCGATACGTCCAATTATCTTTGCTTTAACGAATCTAGTATGCTCACACCGGTATTTTCCTCTCGAGACTGAATTACGGTTAAAAATATCAACGAAAGTCTCGGTTACTGAAACTTTACGCATTCTACTTAATTTATTGCCCGATAATCGTGTACTACACGAAAAAAAGTGGAATCGGCTTCGAGGTCAACCGCTGTTATTATTAACAAAGTTTATTTTTACGCTAATTATCGTGGATTATTTTTCGCTCGGAACTGGCATGGTTTGGGAATTTCGCCGATAGGCCCGGCGATAGTCGGAGGTATGAAGAAACAGCTCGTTCCGCTTTATCGCGACTCCTCCGACACTTGGAACAATAGTCGAATGGAAAATTATGCTTGCCCGTCGATATCGTCGCGAGTAAATATTTGAACGGACTACTATTCTCAATCTGGTAGTCGGTGGATGTCGGAAGATCGACTTCTGGCCGATAAACGCGTCCAGGAACCGACAATATTTGTTCGATTTCGATCGACCTCTCGAGAAAAATGGGAACGGCAGTCATGAGACCGCGTTTATCTGCCACCAAGGAATTTTGTAAATAACTCGAATTATCTTTCTTAATCGCCTCCGCGATCG